GTGGAATTCCAATAAAACTGATTCATGTTTGTGGCTGTAATGTGACAAAATATAGAAAAGTTTAAGGGGGCCGAATAGTTTTGCAAGCCACTGTATATGTTAATAGGTTAGGTACTGACTTTGTATTAGGGTGGTCTCTCCAGGTGGGGAGGTGATAGTCACAGGAGGAATCTGGATGGAGGTTTGCCTAGTTCGTCTGACATTCCTCTGGTTATCTGAGTCTTCTATATGGTCAGGAGGCCAGCTAGTGCCCCCAGAGCCTTGCTGGGGGGTGATAGCCAAGGACTCACCCTCTGAATCGCCAAACCTGTGCCAAAAGAAGAGATATAATCTTAGTTCCTCTACTGTGTACTGTGTAATGTTGTGACTTCTGCAGGAATTGTTCCTTGCTCTGGTTGAGACTCAAGGAAACTCTGGTTCACACATTATGCCTATAACTAGGCATAATGTGTCCATGTAATTCACCTTTATTACTGAGAAAAGGGGGTGTCTGCCTTTTTATTATTTTTTCCCACAATAGAATAGAACACCTCTTTATTGAATTATTTTAAATTATGTGTGCTCCATGCCAACTGTGCCAATAAAATATAAATAGTAAGACAGCAGGAATTAATAATAAACAGGAGAAATATATAAAATTAAAGGGAATATATACAAACTAGTAGAATATATTTCAAACAAGAGAGACATACATTGGAAAACAAAGTGCTTGGAAGTAGTGCAAAGAACTTGGTCTAACTAGAGTCTGTGTGTGGGTGGCTCGAGTGATGAGGGTTACTCAAACCATGGCTCATATTGGTGAGGTGAGTTGTCAGGGGCAGAGTGAGATGAGTGGTCAGGGGCAGAGTGTGAGCGGATAGTGTTTGTTATCAGGCCGAATTGCCCAGGGAAGAAGCAGGTTGTGAGTCTGGAGGTGTGGGACCTGTGCCGACCAGAGGGCAGCGGGTTAAACAAATGGTCCTGTTTTTTTTTGTTTTTGATACAAGAAGATCCGGTGATGGCCTCCAGGGGTAGCAGAGGGTAGCCAATTTTTGGAGCAGAGTTAATTACCCTCATTTTCATTGTAGATATGAAATATTATAAATTTATCGTTGAACACTTATAGGTAACCTCCTTGGGCTCAAATTCCAAGCTCCAGCCTTTTTATAGTGTCACTGTCAGTGTCACTGTGTAGTTGAAATCAAATAGTGAACAGAACAACAGTATTACCATATGTAACCATAGTTTTTACCTCTGACTATGGGTCTTCTCTCTATCATTAGATTCTGTGGAGTGTCCCCTGGATCCGTGAATGCGATGCCTTCTTCTCTCTCCACTGGCACCACTGCCTCCTCTGGAATTCCTATCTCCATTCCTGTTAGACAAATGTCCATCTTTGTGGCGAGATCTTCGCTCTCCCCTCCCTCCACTACTCACTGTCCCGTTGCCACCTCGGGACTGCCGGTGTGAATGATGATGGTGGTGATCTCTCTCGCCTACGTTCCCCCAACCTCCACTGTCATCCACTGAACACTGATGGCGGTGCTTCCTGCCTCCCTCCCGGCTGTGGGACCTCTCACTCTTCCCCCGTTTGTCCCGGCTGCTGTCATGGTTTTTGGAGCGGCTGTGATGGATGTGATGTCTCCCATTATCATTAGTTTCCTGTTTTCGTTCTCTGTCTCGGTGGTAGTGCTGATGGCGGGGCTGGTGAGGCACAGGGGGAGGTGGGTCCGAGGCAGTGTCAGCCTCCTCTGACAAGCAAGTCTTCTTGTGGTGGTGCTGGCTGCTGCCACTGTGGGGCTCAACAACCAACGGCCGGTCAAGGTGAGTCTTCATGTCTGGCCGCATGTGTAGGGCTGACGCTATGTGCAGTCGCTCTTCTGAAGTTAGCTCACTGTACAGCGCCTCACAGCTTGCGTGGTTCTGTTTTCTCAGTTGGCTGGCCCTTTGTTCCCACACCGACATCGTCTTCACTGACCTCTGCTGCTCCTTACTAGAGAATGGAAAAAGAAGACAAATTATAACCACTGTAACATTAATTTTACAACCTAAAATAGTGTATATATTCTGAATCATCAACATCAACTTTTAAACCAATGCAATAGTCACAATAATCTGTAAGTTCAGCAAATGATAAAACCAATTCCAATGGACAGCTAGAGTATCCATTGTGACAAATTCAGTATGTATGCATTTTATAATTCATAGCACATAAAATTAGCTGTATACGCTATTCAGTGTTGGGAAGGTTACTTTTAAAATGTATTACACTACAGATTACAGAATACATGCACCAAAATGTATTTTATAACGTATTCCGTTACATTACTCAATGAGAGTAAAGTATTCTGAATACTTTGGATTGCTTAATATATTGTCATGCTTTTTTACAACTACATGAATGTACTATTGCTGTGTGATTTTTTACTATTACTGAAGGTTACTTGCCATACCAATACTAACTAGATTTTTAAATGTTAATATAAAACTATTCTGCGCGTATATAAAACAGGTCCGCGGTTCTGAACCGTAGTAAAGGGACCTCTGGCTAATACGTCAGGTTCATGTCGGGCTCGTAGCCGAAAACTAGCTTTACTTTGTTGTCTGGGTCAACTTTGCTAGCGAGAGATAGAGAGAGGCGCTGAAAAGCTGGAACTTATTGTTTTGGAAGAAAATACGAACACAGTGTACAGTTGAGTCTTAATTGCTTACTTAAAACTGGGCTTGTCAGGCACTCTTTTTTGGCTGCAGCAGTTTTTATTATATTTACATGCTTCCATCTCCCGTTTCTGTTTGGTGACAACTTGTACTTTCGACTCTCCTTTTTCTCCCTCCCTCGCTCACAGACACATAACGGGTATGACAGTCCATTCTCCCTGCAGCACGGACTACACTGCCCATGACGCTACACATTCTTTAGGGCTATGCCTCAAACACTCTGCCTATCGCCTTCGTATTGAATAATTTTTTGAATAATAATTTTTACAAATATTTCTTCACGTCATTTATGCGGGCCACAAGTAGAGGTGACATGATTGAGACACACAGTCTCTTAATGAGTGTTTTGCTTGGGTCCAAAAATAGAGAGGCCTAAAATATGAAACAGGAAAAAAACGCCCTGTAATCTATTTATTTCAACAAAGTAACTGTCGTGGGTTTAGGAGTAAATCTTTGGATGAAAGGAAAGCTTATCTTAAAGAGAACAATATTTGCTTTAAGTGCTGCGCTTCATTCACTCATCCAGCGAAAGACTGCCACAAAAATGTTCAGTGCAGAGAGTGCAAGAGTGAGAACCACCTTACTGCGCTACACCCAGGGCCTGCCCCCTGGATATCAGAGACTCCTGTAACCACAAGAGAGCAAGGCGGGGAGCAAGGAGAAGAAGCACCTCAAGCTGTCACAGCAAAATGCACAGACATTTGTGGGACTACCGTCAGAGCAAAGTCGTGCTCCAAAATCTGTCTTGTCAGAGTTTATCCAGCTGGCCAGAGGGAGAAAGCTGTTAAGGCGTACATTGTTCTCGACGAGCAGAGCAATAAGTCCTTGGCAAGAACAGAGTTTTTTGAGCTCTTTGGAGTTACAGAGGGCACAGCAGCATACACCTTGAAGACCTGCTCAGGAGTTATTGAAACAACAGGGCGCCGAGCCAACAATTTCATCATGGAGTCATTAGATGGTAAGACTACTCCCCACCTTAATCGAATGTGACAGGCTCCCTGATGATAAGTCTGAAATCCCCACACCTGAGATCGTCAGACATTATCCACATTTCAAGCGGGTTATGGATAAAATCCCGGCTATAGATCCATCAGCAAGCATCCTGATCTTGCTCGGTCGAGATGTACCACAGGCACACAAGAGTGATACAATGGACCCCACGATGCCCCCTACGCCCAGCATCTCGACTTGGAATAGGTGATTGTGGGAGAGGTTTGTCTTGGAAAAGCCCACAAACAAGAGTTTGTAAACGTCTATCGGTGCAACGTGCTGAGTAACGGTCGTACATCTCTGTTCGACCCTTGCACTAACAGTCTACTTATCAAAGAGAAGCTTGACACTCCAGAGCAGCATCATCAGTTTCCAGGAGCTAACGCATCCGAAATCCTATTTCATGGGAAAGACAGCCGTGGTAAAGGGGTCTTCCAGCAAACGCCACACGACAACAAGCCTGCTATGTCTGTGGAAGACAAAGTCTTTCTGGAAATAATGGACAACGAGGTCTTCATGGACGACTCGAATAGTTGGGTGGCAAGGCGCAAACTCCCTAACAACCGAGCCCAAGCAGTCAAGAGTCTTTTGACATTACGGCACATGCTGGAGAAAAAGCCAGACATGAAAGAAGATCTTTGAGGCAGGTCATGCTGAACCAGTACCACCACCCACTGGTGAACAAGAGTGCTGGTATTTGCCAATCTTCGGAGTTTATCATCCGTGCAAACCAGGTCAAGTACGGGCAGTGCTCGACTCCAGCACTAAGCATGATGGTGTCTCACTGAATGACATCCTGCTGAGTGGCCCTGACTTGAATAATTCACTTTTAGGAGTCCTCATCCGCTTCTGCAAGGAACCTGTAGCAGTGGCAGCAGACATAGAACAGATTGCTTCAAAGTCTGCCATGATCACAGAGACTTCTTACATTTCCTCTGGTTCGAGGACAATGACCCCACCAAGCGCATCACGGAGTATAGGATGACCGTGCACGTATTCGGCAACAGCCCCTCTCCCGCTGTTGGCATATACAGCTTGAGAAGAGCAGCTCTGCAAGGACAGGAAGACCACAGTGCAGAGGCAAAACAGTTTGTTCTAAATAACTTCTACGTGGACAGTGGTCTTGCTTCCTTCCCCACCAATGACAACGCCATCCGAGACCTGAAGGAAACCAAGGAGATGTTGGCTGATTCCAACATACGGCTATATAAGATAGCCTCCAACCACGACGTAGTAGTGGAGGCGTTTCCACCTGAGGAACGTGCTAAAGAGCTGAAAGACCTAGAGCTAGGTGTGGATCCGTTGCCTATGCAGAGAAGCTTAGGTCTCAACTGGCACCTTCAAACCAACAGCTTTATCTTTCTTGTCTCCCAGGAGGAGAAGCCGTTTACCTGTAGAGGTATTTCTTCCACAGTTAACAACATATTCGACCCGTTGGGGTTTGCAGCTCCTATTATAGTCCAGGGCAAGGCTATAGTCAGAGAGCTATGCACTGAGCATTGCGATTGGGACACCCCAATACCTGCTGAAAAAGTGGCACAGTGGATGTCTTGGAGAGACTCACTGAAGGCACTCGAGCAAGAGGAAGTCTGGGAAAACAAAAAATGTCTAACTTACCTGCTGATTGGTTGACCCAATCTCCTCCTTTCACCCAAGTTGGTTTGAGAAAAAATGATAGGGATGACTTGCCGCATTTTGGATAGTATGTTGCTCAAGATGCATTCCCCTAGTCTTTCACACAAAGTGCTCACCACGCTGATGGCAGAGGTCGCAGCCATCATGAATGCCCGGCCAATAGTCCCTGTGTCTTCCAATCCAGACATCCCAACCATACTCACCCCTGCTATGCTTTTAACACAAAAGGTGGACTCTGTGTCTGCTCCTTTGGAAGACATTGACCTCAAGGATCTCTACCAAAGTCAGTGGAAGCAAGTTCAAAGCCTTGTGGATTCCTTCTGGAAAAGATGGCGTCAAGAGTACCTGATGACACTCCAGCCGAGAAGGAAATGGCAAGCAGAACAAGCCAGCCTGCAAGTTGGAGATGTTGTGCTCCTAAAGGAAAAAGAGGTTAAACGAAATCAATGGCCCACAGGACTTGTGGTAAATACCTTTCCGGGTCAAGACAGCAGGGTCTGGAAAGTGGAGGGTAGAGTTGTTCAAGGAAGCACCCCCAGGGTGTATTCGAGACCCACCACTGAAGTTGTGTTGTTACTAAGAGGGACATAGTGGTATAGTACTCTATACCAGGCAGGGAGTGTGCTGCCCCTTTAAGGCAGGCATGATAATTTGGGTGTGTGTTTTTTGTACCAGCCGACTTGCCAGGGAAAAACAGTCCTTTAGCCAAACCGTTGTCTGTTCCACTGTTCGTTTGCTTTTTCTTGCTGAGCCTGAGAGAGCACATGCCTGTAAGTAGTTGCTATCTATTTTGTAAGCTTTCCAGCGTTAGTTTTGTGTAGCAGTTTAGAGTTTTGTGTGAGAAACTTTCTTTTGTGAGGAAAAACGGCCGTGATGCTAACACGCTAGCCCGTCTATGGGATTTCCTGTGTAATGTTAGCATTAAGCTAATAGCTAAATGCGTGGGCCTAATAAACAGTGAAGTCTAGATATGCTCGTGTTTATGTGTTATATACATTGTAATTCATGGCTTGATGTTTGATGTTGTAAAGAAAATGCAATTACAGCAGAAATGTAATATTTTATTTTTGTTTCCGTACCAGTTTTACAGTGCTTCTACAGTAAACATCTAAAACCTATCCGCTGACTCCTGGATGTTTATTGTGGACCTGTTAGCTATCTGCCAAGCTAGAAACCAGCTTCACACCCTAGTGAGGGCAGAATAGTAACTATATTCTGAATATCACCCTTTAAAACTGTAACTGTAACGGCATACAGTTACTCATATTTTGTATTTTAAATACGTAATGCCGGTACATGTATTCCGTTACTCCCCAACACTGACTCTAGTTTACATCATGGCAGACAGAGTACCTACATGCAAAATAATTTACTGTATGACGAAGGTGCAATGGAGCTTTCAACAACAAGCTAAATTTATCACAGTATACTGTGGAGACAGCTCATTCATGAATATGCCTCAACTGGCCAAGCATGGCTACATTACCATGCTTTGACATCCTATGATTTTTTTGTCAATTTGTGTTTAATACGCGGCTTTGAAATGGCTGGAAGCATACACTGTTCAAAGTGTATGACCTACACTGAACCATTTAGATTTTAATAATGGGAAATTATATATTTCAGTGTCATTAATGTCAGGAAGCCAATCTGATCACAACACAGTTAAGGACAAACTTTATCCCAGGTTTTTAAAATGCCATCATCCTGCAAGTGTATTCCTTGTGCTCAACACATTGCACTACACTCCTGTTAAGAGGTGGATGGAAAACATGGAACTGGACTTGTTGGATGAACAGAAAGCCTGCAACATAGTATGTATGATGAGAATGCAGGGCAGCTGTTTTACTTAAGCATTCTTGCTTTCAGAATGTCAATGATGACACTATGATCATGTATGCATGTAACTGGCACTGTCATCCACCTTGTTCACAGACAACTGGGTTTTTACCTCAGGTAGTGATGGACTGGGGTGCAGACATAACTCCTACAAACACATAAAGGGAGCAACATTGAAATACACAGAGGGAGAGAAGGAATTTCAAATGGACAGAAAAGGCAAAAGCACAGAGAAGGCAAATTAGCTTTAGGGAAACTCATAGGAGGAGGAACATGTAGATCAAAGACACTAAATTGTACAAGGAGAATGTTTTCCTGAAAGTGAGCAAGCGAACAAGTGAGCAATTTAGGTGTTCAGAGAGTGCACAAAAAAACTTGGAAGAATTAGAAGTCATCAACATTTGGGCCATATATACTTACAATACATAGCTTTTTGTTAGACCATAATGCTATAGTATAGATAATATAATGCTTAGAAATCTATCCTCTGGTCCTATAACTGTGTTGAGTACTGTGAAATAATATTTTATTGTGTTAAAATTGCTACTCCCCTTTGTCTAGAGCAGGGGTAGGCAACCTTTCTGATGGCGTTTTCACCCTAGTGAGGGCAGAATAAAATTTAAAATTTCCTCAGAGGTCAGTGTGCCATATGATTGCATTAGCAATAAATTTAATAACACTCTATATTAACAGTTACACACTATATAGAACCACTTTATAGAATTATATTTGTTCGCAGATGTTTGCAGCTATCAGCAAATAGTTATCAGCTATTTTGAAACAAAAAAAACACACTTTTTATCCATAACAATACTATACAATACAATTTTATTTATATAGCACATTTAAAAACCCGAAGGCACACCAAAGTGCTTCACAGTAATATGTAGAGTCAACATAAGTCAATAAAAGGGTACAAATTGGGCACTAGCACAGACAGGATAGAGGCACTAACAGACCAGGAGAGTTAGATAAATACAAAATCTGCTAAGAAGACAAAAACAGCAGTAAAATTAATAAAAAATAATAAATTTAATAAAAGATTTAAAAGTTTAAAATTTAAAGGATTTAAAAGGGTATTAACTGGTCAGGAAAGCAAAGTCAAATAAATATGCTTTTAATCTTGATTTAAAGGATTGGATAGAGTCCAAGGCTCGAATAGAAGCAGGGAGGCTATTCCAAAGGTTGGGTGCAGCTGAAGCAAAGGCACGATCGCCTCTGGTCTTCAGTCTAAACTTAGGTTGGGCCAGGAGTAATTGACCTGATGATCTTAATGCACGACAAGGAGTGTACAAATTGAGGAGGTCAGTGAGATAGCTGGGCGCAATGTTATTCAGGATTTTAAAAGTGAGTAGCAAGATTTTAAACTCAATGCAATATTTGATTGGTAACCAGTGTAGATCAACAAGAGCCAGAGTAATAGGGTCAAATTTTCTAGTTCCAGTAAGAAGGCGAGCCGCAGCATTCTGAACAAGTTGCAGCCTTCGAAGAGAGAAGGCTTGGAGACCACAGTAGAATTACAATAATCTCACCCGGAGGTCACAAAAGCGTGGATAAGTTTTTCCAGGTCCCTGTGTGGTATATAATGCTTAGCTTTAGAAATCTGGCGCAGTTGAAAAAAAAAACAGATTTAACTCCAGATGATACTTGCTTATCGAGCTTAAAGGAGCTATCCAAATAGACACCCAGGTTACGCTAGGGGCCCCAGCAGGGCAACAAGCTGGTCTCGAGGAATATGGTGGTCGAACACCATAACTTCAGTTTTTCTCTCATTTAAAATGAGAGAATTTTCTGACAGCCAATCTTTAACCTCTCTCAGGCAATCGTACAGGAGTTCAGTGATGCTGATAAATCATCAGCCAGTTGACAATAGATTTGAATGTCATCAGCGTAAAAGTGATAAGAAATATTGTATTTTTCAAATATGGAGCCCAAGGGTAGCATATACAAAGAGAATAATAAAGGGCCCAATACAGACCCCCTGGGGCACACCACAGCAGAGAGGGGCAACAGAGGAAGAGTATCCTCCCATCACAACAGAGAAGGATCTATCTGTGAGGTAAGAATTAAACCAGTTAAGGGCAGAACCCTTGATGCCTACAACATGCTCTAGCCTCCTCAAGAGTATATTATGATCAACCATGCCAAAGGCTGAAGACAGATCCAATGAAACTTAAACGGCAAGGTGACCAGAGTCAGCAAATACAAGAAGATCATTATAGACTCTTAGCAGTGCCGTTTCAGTGCTATGGTGTGGCTTAAAGCCAGACTGGTATTTGTCAGTAATATTATTTGCAACTAAGTAAGCCTGTATTTGGAGAAAGAAGGCTTTCTCTAAAATTTTTTGATAAAAACGGAAGCTTCGAGATTGGCCTATAATTGTCAGGGTCTTTCTGATCGAAATTACTTTTTTTAAGAATGGGGTGCACTGCCGCATGTTTAAAGGCACTCGGGACACAGCCCACAAACAATGATAAATTCATTAAGAATAAGATGCAAGGCCCAATTTCCTCAAAACCTTCCTTGATAATTCGGGATGGAAGGATATCGTGCACAGAATTTGAGTTTCTCAGTTGTTCAATTATTCCCTTAAGAGTGAGGAGTGATAACAGCTCAAAGTGAGAAAAGGTGGACATGCATCCTAAAGCACAAGAGAGTGAGAGTGTGAAGCCTTCAGTAATAAAACTTTTCCACTAAAATGATTAAGAAATTGCTCACAGAGAGCCTGAGGTTACGTCCACACGTACCTGGGTATTTTTGAAAACGCAGATTTTTCTATGCGTTTGCACCTTTCGTCCACACGTAAACAGTGTTTTTGGTCACTGAAAACTGAGATTTTTAAAAACTCCGTCCAGAGTGGATATTTTTGAAAACTCCATTTTTGCATTTACGTGTGGACGAGAAAAACGGAGAAAACGGAGAAAACGCAGCGTCAAAGGTGTGCGCATTTTTTGACGTAACACTGTGCGCCACGTTATTGTTTCGGTGAAATACATTTCTACAATACTGTTACTTGTACTCTCTGCAGTGTTTAAATGCTTACATATACACACACAGTTACTGTCCCTCCACACATACGACTCGGTTCTGCTTCTATGTCCAGCTTTGTTTACTTTTTCCCACCGAGGCTTCTAGACTTCTGATTGACCAACATTTCTGCACGGTTAGGAATATATCGCTACCTGTTGCTTTGGTATGTTCCTAGCAGCATTTTCCTTCATTTCTGCCTTTCCGTGTGGACGGGATTATTTTTTAAAACGAAAATGGAAAATCTCCGTTTTCAAAAATACCCGTGTACGTGTGGACGTAGCCTGAGCGTTCTTGTCCATTTGCTGTTATGTAACTCCATAACAGCAAATGGACTGTGCAACAGAAAACGCAAATGCTATTTATGGTCTCCTCACAAGAATGATAAGAGAAATAAACTAAGCCAATATGGCATGTCTGTTAGTACAGAGACACACATGTTAATATGATCTCTGGTCTCCCACTCAGAGACACAGGTCTCCAAGTGTCCAGCATTCAGACGGCTACCTGAGGACACTCATGTGAGAGAAAATCTGCTCACACAGATATGTAGAGTCAAATACTGTCAAGGCCTCTGCAATGTTCTGAAGACAGTTAAACTTCAGGTAGTGATGTCCAGCAGGTGAAAATGCAAGCTCCATGAACACGCACAGCTGTGGATTCCAGCTGCTTCAATGTTGCATTAACTGGCGTTAACTCAGCCAGTTAATGCGAGACAAAT